CAAATTAAAAAAAAGGGCACCGTGAATGTACCTATAAATAATGTATATATCAATTGCGCATGCGCATCTTTGAGTGTATTTATGATGCACAACACTAATATTTTGCAAAATGTAAGTATTTTACTATTTCATAATATTCCGTGCACAGCCGAGTAAATTGTGAATGCGAACGCATGAATACGTTTCATGCGCGGCATGAATATTTATAACATGTAAACATTTAATGCCAACCGGATCCAGAAATCTACGTAAATCTAAACACACGAGCGCAACCGAAAGCGCAACGCGCACGGCGTGAACACCCGCGTGTTGACATTCGAAACGGTTGGGGTAAATTGTATTCGTTGTAATTTGCCTATTTCATGTTAATCCGGGAATATTATGTACACTAAACAAGTCTTAAGCAAGCTGATAAATTTTGACCTTTCATAAAATAACATTTCCACATTTTCTTTTTCCAAAAAACTAGAAAAATATTTGCTCTCTACATCCGGTTCATTCAATGTATCCTCGAGTCGTGACCCAGTTTGAGCCGACAAAATATGCGTCGCGGCGTCACTGCACATCGCATAACTTTCTCATTAATCAAAAGTATTTGGAAGTTGGTACACATAGAGACGGCCCATCAAAGTCGGCGAGTTAGAGACTGTTACGGAACATTATGAAATATTAATGTGCACGCCAAAGCCGGAGAACACGCGTCGTATAAATATAAATAAAAAGCATTCGCATGCGAAAGAAAGTGTTACGACGTGACAAAATAGATGTCGGACATGCGCACGCCACAATCAAATACAAATCGAATCGTGTAATAATTTGTCGTGATAAGCTCATGTTACAAGTTACATGTTTATTTTTTTATTGGCTCTGAAATTGAGCTGCTTGTGTTGTGTGTCGAATATATTTATTTGTACATTCTTATCTTAATCATAAATTATAACGCAACTATTCGTATTATACTTGAAAATTTGTTTGCGCATTTTGCGAGCTTGATAAATTAATGGAACGAATTAATTAAATTGGATTACGACCGAAATTCGCAAACAAAAGATGCTCGTCAAGCAGAAACGTTTCGCGATTAAAATAAATCCGTAGCAGATGTTTGCACATTTCACAATTCGCAATTCTTCTATGAAAATTAATGAAGATTTATGAAGATTCTTGATTTAATATTTAGCTTAATATCAAGCTGATAAAGATAATTCAAAGGTTTCGTGTTGATGAGGAAGGTACTTTGTGTGTTTAATAACATTTGTACTCGTGGCATGTTGACGCTAAGAAGACTCAAGATGTCGTCTTCCGGACGTAGTCATCGTCATCCGCTAGACGACACGTGCACCAGCAGCCATAGTCTATTCATGTTTATCGTGTGCGTTAAGTTGTCGAGATCCAAGCGGGTTTACGTCGCCGCCGACGCCGCATAGCGAAGGTGCGCCTGCTTGAGTTAAGAGCTGAGCCTCTATCGGTCGGCGGCGGCGGCGGCGGCGGCAAAGTTCGCCTTTCCAAAGTACGAGGATAGTGTTGAATTCTCGCTCGGCGCCTTTGGGGACGAGTTAATAATTAGGAAAAGCGAAATGGGACGCCCGGAATTAAGACGTTTGACATCGTCGAGCACTACAATGAATTATTACGGCCTTAATTAATTAAATACTCGACAAACACGCGATGCCGGTGAATGTGTGTATGTGAAACCGATGGAAATACGAATGTCGTCGGTGTTGGTGGCGGTCGGGTCGTTTTCCCGAGTGTCGACTACAGGAGGAGCACAAAATCGGTGGCGAAATGTAAGATAGAAGACGGTGGAGCATAGTTTCTTCGAAATTGATGTTAATTTGTTTTTTGGAGGAGAAAGTACGAGTTTTAGAAAATATATAAATATAGGACAAGGTAGAAATGTTTACTTTTATATTTGTTGTATTTAGGTAAATAAAATTTGTAAAACTCAAATGTTGTCTTTCACTTTTAACACTAGGAAAGAAAACAAACGTGAAAACGTGTCTTCCTTGGCTTTTCACTCTCACCATTCGGTGCTTATTCATGCGATGTGACGCAAAGGGTCGTCGCGGATAGGGTGCTCAAGGCGAGAGCAAACTCGCCCCCCTTATGTGTTAGGTATGTGAGTTGGTACATTCTTGAACGTGCTTCATGCGTACGACACGAGTGTAATTGCTCGCACGCAACAAAACGCAGAACACTTGAAAAATAAAAGCGCGTGCGAAGGAGTCACCACCATTGGGACGGCAGTTAACGCCGAAGGGTAGTCGAGACCTAGTTGACTTTGAGCACAAGTGTCACGCAGAGTGCGTGGTCACAAAAGTGACTTACTCATGTTGTTCTACTTTAAAAATGCAAAAATTCTACTCATTATTTTCAATTCTGCAAATGGAATAATACAACAAAAGAAATTGTCGCATTGTTCGAGTTTTTCTTTTATATTTTATATTTGAATTCTCTCGTTCGAGGAAAATAAAAATAAAAGTGATTTTTCTGTAAAAAAAAGCAAACATAAAAAATGTTAAGATTTGCTTCGTTCCAAGTTGTATCCTTGAGGAATACGAAAAACATCGAAGGTCTGAATCCGAACAGAAAAGTCACCCCGGAGTGGTAGTGAAAGAGCAACAAAGTGCCGACAAAAAACCAAAACATCAGGGCGCGAGTAACAAGACACGAATAGTCAAACAAAACAAGTTGAACAACACAGAGTGATTAGTCCTATTACTACCCTTAGAGTCAAAGAGCCATTAGCCGAATGTATCAACCTATCGACGTGAAGTAAACAGAATGTTGCAATAACCAATCACATAAATTAAAAATAAAATAATTTATTTTATAACGTGATACATAATTAACTAAAAAGAATAGATTTTTTTGTAACAATGCCACAACCTATATAGTATCATAAACTAAATTGGATTATAAGATTTGGGCGTATATTCTATTTTTGGAATACCTGGTTTATGTGAAAACGTAAAGCCTAGAAACGTGATCCGAATCGCTTCGTTTTTCGCCCAGCAACGGACCTTTTGTCCTTCTGCAGCTGGGAATCACGGATACTCTCCAGTTCTTAGTGAGGGTGGCTCGTTGCCACACACCGTAATGCAGTCTACGCGTTCCTGTTTCTTGTTAGGCGAAGGGTTCTGGTTGCGCACGTTAAAGGGTGTTGTTTTTGCGCCTCTTGTGCGCGTTTGTGTTGTTCTTGTCGCTACAAAGCTTCAAAGTAAAACCGAAACTTGAGAGAAGTAAATGTCAAGGATGGATACAACTACTTTCTACTTTGTGTGGATCTAAACTTCTAAAGCATGCTAACGATGAAAAACATCGAAAACATACTGGAACATTTTTAAAACATGTTTTATTATGCTTAATTTATATAAAAAATTTCCCGTAGATTCAATCCATTGGTCGATATCGCTTTTTATTAACGAGATAACCGCAACCGATCATTTTTGTTGATAAATGCAATAATGTTGAATATAACTGGAATATATAAAACAACATAAAATGTATACTTGACCATTAATATGTTTATTTTTAATATAGAATGTGTAAATTTTATTCAAATTTAATTATAGTTTCCTGTATTGAACTTTTTTATTGTAATTATTAATATTCATTATCAAATACCTCAGATTTTTTCCAAGTAATTTCATTGTTTTACGGTTCAATGCTCTTGCTTTAGATCGAAGAAAAAAACACATTACATTAAAAGTTCGTTGTCGGACGCGCTGGCTCGCAAAATGAGAGGCAACATAATTATGAGCGATAATGAGCGAGTGTAATCCTTAAACATTTTCCTTCTCGTAGAACCAACGCGCTACTCGGTTGTTTTAATGCCGCGAGTCAGGCGAAGCGAGTCCGAACAACCGGCGAAGTTTTTGTTGAAATTACTAAATGAATTTTAAAGCAAAATTAGCGCAGCGCCAATGCAAATATTTGCGAATGCCGTTAAACGCCGCATCTTATCAGCGCGCGAACGTGTCGCGCATATCTAGCCCCAGCGCGAACAAAACCAGGAAGTAAAAAGATTAGCAAATAAACGTTGGGCGAGCATCGTGGTAATAAAAAATTCCAGTAATTTATTATTTAAAAAGGACTTAATGTTCGGATGAATCAAATTTTATAAGAACCCAATAAAAGCAATAATAATCGATTTGATAGCAAATAATACCTGTTTACCTGTAGGGAAAATTATAAAAAATTTAGATAACATGGTAGGAAGAAAAGAGATTTCGTGTACAATTTCATCTCACAAAATTTACATAACAACGAATACGAATGCCTAGCAAACGAAAAATCGAATGGGAAAATGAACATGTTGAGCCAACAAAATTTACAATGGCGATGTTAAAGAAAAGGATTAAATAACCGAATATTCACGAGAGAGCTTTTATGGCGTTCGGCAATAAAACGGCTATTTTTACGCTGCACGGCATTAATTTCGTAAAAGTCACTTATATACTTTTACGGCCACTGATTGCTTTAAAAGAGTTCATTTATAGCCGCGTGTTTGATTGCCACTATAATTTTATAATTAACAATTCATGTTTTATGTGCGTTGCCACTTTCTACAAACTAACAAAATATTCATAGCGCACATTGCTCTGCGGCTATCGCATTAAAATGTTCCAGCATTGTTTTATTTATGAATTGGTAATGAGACTGTTGTATGTTTTTTCTGTTACAATTCGCAGACAGTTATTGACATTTTCTGTGGCTGCGTTTTGTTTGTTTTGGTAGCCCGCTGGCGGTGATCGTGGTGGCGTTTTGTGTTTTTTTTTCGCACGAAATCGATGGAAACAAAACGAGCTGGGAAACTAAAAGGAAATGACGGAAGTCGGAGTCATAACCGATAAGTTATGGCTCGGGGTGAGAATTGATCGTTTTTCACAGCGAAAATAACAGCATTAACTATTATTTCATCTCAGTCTATAGTCCGGTTTGTTATTTAACGCCGAAAACAATTTAATTCATCGTTAACGAAATATTTCTTCTTGTTTCAGTGGAGTGTTATTACAAGGCAAACAACAACTCAAAGATGCCATTGAAAGTTTTCAACGTGCGATACATTTTCGACCATCATTAGCACGTAAGTACTACAATACTAAATCTCATTCATACACAAATTCTTCAAATAGCGGGCTTAAATTCGTGAGGCTTTTCCGCAGAGCTGCCTAAAAGCTTAAACAAAATAGCTTGAGTTTAATCGTCCTTATGTTTTACATTTATTGTCCACATGTCCGCCATGTCGTCGACATTAAGCATTACGTTGCAGGCGCTCACAACCACTCACGGTCGGAGCATTCGGAGGCCAGTAACGCAGTAACAATTCCACTTTCCACATGATGTCAGTAATTCCATTTCTACGTGCTATTACGTACCATTACATGGCATTACTGCGATGGCCGCTGCAGTGCACAAAGAGAAAACTAAATGCGCGCCGGCGGCAAAATGCGAAGGCGACTGATTAATAACCCGTTCATTATTGCTGTTTGTCTGAACTTATTATGGTCATTTAAATTCCTTCAATCTACCGAGCGCCATGTCCACTTGCACACTGACAGTATCCGATATTAACACGTAGTAGGCGCGTGTATGTTGCGAAGGCGCCGGGCAGCAATGCGCGCGTTTTAATGACTTTTATGTGCGGAGTCCACAGCAACTAGCACTAGCAGGATAGTTGGCCAAGCTGTGCGACTGCATCGAACAAACGGCCAAGCAATTATATAAATTAAAAATTCCATTTGGGCCGAGTCCTCGGAGAGCGCTTGGAAAATTACAAAAACAGGAATAGTAACAAATAATTTATTGCGATGTCAGCTGGAAAAAGGATTAAAATGAACAAGAATGCGAATGAAAATAATTACAATGTATTATTAAACGCTTTACAAGTTGTACAAACAGTACCAGTAGTTATTATGTGAATTATTGTAACAATTGAACAAAAATTCTGTATTTTTTAACCTGTAACGTTTTAAAAGGGGTATATATTAAGTATAAAATATAAAGTAAAAGCAGCAAGCGTGTCCGTGCTTCAAGTGCGTTGAGTGGCGTAATAAAAAGATGAAATGATTAAGATTAATTATGTTTTTGTTACACTTTCCTGCCGCGTGCTCACCGGAATACCATCACGAGTTTGCCTTCGCTTTTTCTAAAGCTTCTAATATTTTATGAGCGTATAGAGCTTTGCCGCGTCTCAGAAAATACGAAGTAAACATATTTTTATTATGAAAATAAAGACAAATGATTGTAATTAACTTTTTTCGAACATGCATGATTAATTTTATATGTTTTTGCTTCACATTTACATTAGAACGAAATCAGATTTAAGTGCGAAGTTTATATGTGTGTATTTAATCAACATCTGGTGCACCGTCAACGCCAAACTTGAAATATTGAAGTAAAGTTCAGTATCTTAAGTTCACGAATGCAGTTTGCGAAGCACTTAAACACACTCGTGCACCTATCACTCAAGTGCGCTTTTATTTTCGTTCAAATGCAATGTGAGCCTGTCGTTTTAATCAATGTTCATGCGCAAAAGCCTAAAAGTTCATCGCTTCAAACTCGGCGTGTCATAACTGCGTTAATTAAAATTGGAAAGGTGCATTTCTAATTAATTTCATGAAAAGTTCAGTCAGCGAACATTTTGCGGGCTAGTTATGCTTTAATGCTTGTGTCAAATTGATTTTACACTTCAGAACTCAACAAACTCTGAAAGTAATAAATACAGAGTGTTTTTGATTGCAAAAAAATGTGTTGAGAAATATAAAATTTTAACACCCACAATTATAATTGCAACTTTAGTAATTTGATTCGTAAATTACTATTTCTTCGTAATTTATACACTCTCCCTTTATTTCATTAACTCTAATTATCGCTCTCGGTGTACGAGTATAATAGAGGTTATAATTTGATGCAAAATGCTTTATTAAGTTTAATAACTTTACGTGCACCGACGTAATGCTTCTGGCAATTGCATTGCACAGCGCTCAAGTGCAAAAAATGCAAATCACATCGACATTAAAATATTTAGCGCCAACAGCGGAATCAACATTCAACGTTTAGCGCTCACATTAACTCGTTAACGCCGAAGCACACCCACCATGCCCCATAGTCACTGTGTTGCTATTCTGCCAGCTTTCACGAGTACAATTCACCCCTTTCAACTATGCGTTTGTGTGTGTACACTTGCACATCGAGCGATTGTTTTAATCGACGTGCGTACGCATCGAATGCAACAACGCTTCACACCGCGAGGTACATGCGAATGATTTTAAAGCACTTAACGGCTTAAACAAAGCGTACACGCTCCCCTGCACAAGCGTTACTCCAAAATGCTCGGAATAAAGCATTTATTAAATAGACTAGGATTTTAACTTTATAATAATTCAATAAAATTGAAATACTGATTTTTAGTTTTTACGTAATTAGAGATTTGATAGTGTGGAGGCGCCGGGCATCGTTTTTTGATGGAGAATTACGTGAGGTGATATCAACAGGGAACTTATTTATTTATACCAGCTTCAAGTTCACGTCATTCCAGGCATTCTTTAATGAAAATATGACCTAATAACAGCGACACGAACAAGTTTAATTACTCTTTGGCACGCAATAGAATTAAAGTGCTAATTTGACTTCACAGGAATTCACGTTGCGTAAATAAACTTAAATAAGTAACTATCAACTTACATAGAAAGAATATTTTTTGCATAAAAAGTTATGAACAAATAAAATTGCAATTTTTGCAAAACGACTATATTTGCTAAATTTTGCATTCAACTCCTAGAAGCACGTGGTTGTGAATGTTTAGAAGTCGCTTATCTTGTTGTGAGTTTTGTCTAAATCTTGATTACGTGTACTCGTTGACTATCTCTATCAGAATGCGCAAGTACGTGGACGTCAAGTAGTCTCCCCGCGCTGTGTACACACAACGGTGGCGGCGGCGGCGAGCGCGCGAAAGATCTTCATTTGATATACGACGGCGGGGATTTACATAATTACACACGACGCACTAGCTGCCTCCTGCTCGTGCTAGAATTACTCGGCTAACTAACGGCGCGACGCGGCTCGCGCGCTCATAAACTACTGCCTTTTACTGCACTTCTTTTGATTTTTTATTCCGCGCCGCAGCGCAAAGCCCAGAAAGCTCGGGGCTTTCCAGGAGGTCTTGAAAATTTGCAGGCGCAGGTCTGAAGGGAAGCCCGGAGCTTTCCGATCGCTATCTAAACGACTATCATTGAGTCATTGTTCAATCTTTCATTGGACACATTGTTGTGAATTAACTCTCTTGTTGTTTGGGGGAGTTATTTCAGTTTTAGGAGATATATAAACGAAATTTGTGAAAATTTAATGAAGCGGATGAAATTAAAATTAAAATTTCGTGAATTGAAATCAATTATCCGCAAATGAGATAGAATCGACGCCAAATTTCAGTATTTGACATTTCGCTGTGGTTTTGCGGTGCATTTTGTCATAAATAATTGCCATAATTAACGTTTTTATTATTTTTTGACATTCCGGGTATTCAACAATATACCATAAGTTCAATCACTTTAACAAATTTATAAATAGTAAATTATTTATTTATTTTAAATCTCTATAGACACACTGTACGTTTCCAGCGTAATTTTTGCAGCTGCTTCGTATGGATATTCGATTCGATCCGATTTAAAAATGGCTCCGTTCAGCGCTGATCTGCTTTTTACTCCCTTGCACAATAGCATTGGGCATACACAATTGTGCTACTCGTATTATGCGATGGTGGAACGCTGATTAATATCGAATGCATATTCATCGCCCGGGCGAGCGCAAAGTTTTGCCCAGCTTAATGCGAGAACATCGCACGAGTTAAGGCCGCACCGCCGATTATTATTATAATTTGCTGCAGCGCAACGGCAACACTGATGCGCCCGAAAACAAACAAATTGCCGCGCTAAATTCGCAAATTAATTCACAATTAACGGCAACTTTGCATACGAGCGCGCCGCGTGTGTACGTGTGCACTGCTCGATCGCGCATAACCGGGTCGCGCGTATATCGTCGCGGAAGTTTGACGTTTATGAGATTAGTTTTGGCTGATATTCCGCTGGGATGCAAAGGCAGTTGTGAAGTCCAAAAACAAATCACTTGTTTGCTGTAATAATTATCCAAACTTATAATTACATAAATTGCTAAATCTCTAATCTTCCCAAACAGAAATTGATTAATTTTTGTGTTTTTCTAGCGTAAAATTTAAATTTTCCACTGTAATCGAAATAAACCATTACGAATTGAATGTTTTCCAAAATCGGTTTCAACAGCGCCCGTACAACGTTTACAGTTGGATCTCTCCATTATTAAACGCCATACATAACGCCCCTATCTGTGCGTCGCGATAGGCTCGTGTAGCGTGTAGCTACAATATTAAATTTACGTGGACGATTAAGTTTGAGTGTCCACAATGCAAGCCCGAGTGCCGGCTGTTTCGAAATGCGACGCTCGTAAACGTTGTCGATGCGGAAGATGTTCGACGAGGTATCGAATGAGGAGGGACTCGTCCGCCCGTTTTACGATGCATACCTGCCGGCGGTGGTCGTCGGCATTCGTGCGCAAAACCTCCCCGAGAGTCAACCGTAAAGAAGCGCCTGAAAGGAAATCAAATGATGGCACCTGGTTGGAAGTATCGATGAAACCGGTAGAAGGTGGGAAAATTGGAAGAAACGATCGCGCACCGAGTTTTATGTTTAAATGCTTTTATAGCCAACACACGTGGTTTAAGGGTGCTAAAAGAAAACTTTTAGGACCGTTTAGTTAAAACTTACGCTTTCACCCATCGAAATACCGGATTTTTATTTTAAGGCTAGTAAAAGGATAATTATTATTGAAATGCTGGAATAAAAATAATGTCAAGATGGTTTTATGTTTATTCGCGTTTTCATTTCATAAAAAGTTACATGAAACAATTTTATACATAACTGTTGCAATGTAGTTCGGGCGTGTATAATGTACACAGTAAAAACACGGAAAGAAAACGGAAGAAAGAATTCGCACATTGCACGAGCCAGCCAGTACGTGCTTGGGCGAAAATCTTGCGCTGGTCTTATTAGCTCT